GTGTGTGTGTGTGTGTGTGTGTAAATCACGTGTCATCTGACAACAAGGGTATGTTCTGAGAACTGCGTCACTAGGCGGTTTCTTTGTGCAAACATCACAGCGTACTTCTGCAGACCTGGACAGCACAGCCTACACTTCGCACCGGGGCTCCAGGGCCCAGCCTAGTGTGAGGTAAGGGACTGCCATCATCTGTGCAGTGCATCACTGACTGAAACACTGTCGTGGTCTGTGTTAAGTTAGAATAAAAATCTGAGGTCAGAACCATTTTTATGTGCTTTCCAACTTTAACTCAGTTTTTTGTTTAATGAAATTTTGGTTCTAATTAACTTAGATAAGGGGGCATTCAATGTATACTTAACAACTGCTAGAAAGGATTCTTTTATTTTTTTTTAAAGAATTATTTATTTGTTTAATTCCATTTGTTATTATTATTTTTTAATGTGACCAGAGAAAGAAACAGAGAAAAGAAAAGTGAGAAAGCAAGCTGCCAGGTCTGGGATTCAAACATGTCAGTCATATGGGAGTCTAGTGCCTCAACCACCACACTACCTGCTGACCCCTAGAAAGGATTCTTTATCAATGACCAATCAATTTTGAGTTTTTTCCCTCCTTGGCCAAAATGGGTATATTTTCAAGTTCCTGTGGGACCACTCAAAGTCTGTGTACTCATTATTTGGGATCCCCCACTTCTCTCTCTAAGAATATGCTGTCTGTTCTACCTACCACCAGGACAACGGCCACAGAGAGTGTGTCTTCTTGAAGCTGTCTGTCTCCTGTACTACTACTAGATGTCCACTCTTCATTGCAATCTTAGAAATCCCAAATGACACTTATAAGTCAGATAACTATAGCAGCTAGATGCCCCAAGTGAAGAAGAAAGAGAAATTTTTATCTGAGATATTATATATAGCTCACTTATTTATCCAGCCTTTACCCTTTCTAATCTAGGGGTTGGTGAACTATGGTTTATGGGCTAAATTCAGCATGCTGTCTCATTATGCCTAACCCCTGATCTAAGAATGCACTTTAAATTTTGTTTAAATTGCTAGAGGGCTTGTTCACTTACTGGAGAGTCAGAGACAGAAGGCAGGGAGAATGAGAACACATCGCACAATGGGTGTGGTCACATCTCAATCCCTTTTCTGTGGTCAGGATATTGGGCATGTGCATGTGCCTGGCATGTTTCTCAAGCTGTTGGAGACTAGGATTCAAACCACAGTTGGCCACATGGGAACCAATTCCCTTAGCAAAGAGGCCACAGGACCAGTCAGGTCCTTAATTTTATTTATTATTATTATTATTATTATTATTATTATTATTATTATTATTATCATCGCTATAGGGTACATGTACCTCTAGAGAGACAAAGAGAAAGAGGGAAAGTGAGAAATGACCCTCTAGGGGATGGCCATGCTGCAATCCCTTCTCCTCTAGTCTTGTCTTGAGATTTTGGGCTCCCATACACACTTGCCCAGTGTGATTTCAAGCCGTCAGGTCCAGGACTCCAACTGCAGAGTTAGCCATGTAGAATCCAGTGCCTTAACCTCCAGTCCACTTGCTGGCCTGGTCCTTAAGTTTTAAATGATTAGACAAAACAAAATAATGCTATTTTGTGACATGTGAATCCCACATGAATTTCAAATTTCAGTGTCAGCAAATAAGTTATTAGCACACTGTTCGGCTCACTCATCTATGTATTGCCTATTGCCGCTTTCTTGCTACAAAGGCAGAGTTCAGTAGTTGCAATTGGTCTGCAAACCCTAAAATGTATTTATTATCTGGTCCCTTGTAGTGAAGTTTGCTGATCTGTTATAAAACCCTCCATGTACTTCCATACACCGGTCAAACATAATCTGTTCACCATTCCTTACAAGTCCTACATTTCCTGCTTCCCTCTACTCGCTCACACTTGCAAATATGTTGTTCCTCCACCCTCACTCAGCACTTCTGCCAAAATTCCATTCCTTCCCCCAGGCACATCTCAGGTTTCGTTCCTTTAGGAAGCTTTCCCATTTGACTCAATAAAAGGTAATCGCTCCCTTCCCTTTGAACTAAGTCTACCACTTTGTAATATTCTAATGTCACAGGCCAGTAGGTGGTGTGAAGGTAAGGGTGGATGGATCCCACCTGGCAGTTCAATGGTTTGAGTCCCAAAGCTGGCAGCTTGAAAATCACATTGGGTGCATGTGCACACCCACCCAAATCCCGAGGGGAGAATGGAGAAGGGTTTTGCTGGTCATGCCCCCAGTGGGTGATTTCTCACTCCCCTCCTCCCCCTGCTGTCCCTCCCTGGCAAGCGTACATACTTTATAACAAAAAAGAAAACAAACTAACAAAAATACTCTAATGAAAGAGTTAACTTTAGTTTTCTATTAAAAAACTCTGTCTCACTTTCCACCATAAAACAAGACTCCTTAGGAAAGTTATCACCCACAATGTGTATTCTAGTATCTTTAGGCAAATTGCTTGACGCTTTGGGCTGTGCACTTAGTTCTCTAATAAGATTTTCACATTTTACTGAACCTATTTTAATCACCCAATTTGCACATTAGCTGTAACTATTACTTACCACATTCTCCTGAATCTGACAGTTAGATACAGAGATGCTGGTAGACAAATCTTCTGTAAAATATAAGAATGATATATGAGAAAATAAAATTATTAGTATACGACTTTTAATATTAAGTGATTTAACTTATTATATGCCAATGCCCTTGGTGTATCAGACCTATAAAACAAGCTAACATACTGTTAATTACGTATATTAAAGCAAATTTCCTATGCACGAAATACTGATCCATCGACAGGAAGCTGATTAAATAAAATATGATAGATTCACACAAAGGAGTACTATGTGAACATCTAATAAATAATGTATAGGTATAAATACTGAGTCAGAAATCTAGCTGTGATATTACTGAGTTAAAAGGGGAAGTTGTTGGGTAGAACTGTTTGAATTAATAACAAAAATAAAGGGGGTGAGGAGGACTGCAGCGTCAAGACCCTGCTGGGGATGTTGTCTCTCTCTCTTGGTCATAGAAGAAACAACCAAACCAAGAAACAAGTAAACATGCATACACACATACATACATAAAAATAGGATTACTTCGGGCAAGTGGGAGAGGTGGAGTTAGTTTTTGTATATTTCTGTACTGCTTATATTTCTGAAAATATGTAAAGCATACATTGCTTCACTAAAAAATTTAAAAATTAGTAAGCCTACATTCTGACATCGAAACATCTGACATATTTTATCCATTCATTGATTTATTATTGCCAGAGTGTATGTATGCTCCCCAGAGAAAAAGAGGGCACCATCCCCCCTCTGACAGAGCATGGGCACACTGCAACCCTTTTTCCTCCATTTCTCCATCCTGTCAGGATTTAGCACACACTTGGCATTTTTTTTTTTTTTTAGAGATTTTTCACTACAGGGCGCGTGCGCTCGCCAGACAGACAGAGACACACAGAGAGACAGAAAGCGAGAAATCATCCCCCAGAGGGGATGGCCACGCCGCAATCCCTTCTCCATTCTCCTCTCGGGATCTTGGGCACTCACGCACCCAGCATGGGTTTTAAGCCACCGGGTCCGGGACGCGAACCGCGGTCGACTACGTGGGAGTCCAGCGACATAGCCATTATGCTAACTGCTGGTTCCCAACACCTGGCATGTTTTTCAAGTCACAGGAATAGGATTTGAATCACAGCTGACCATGCAGAATGTACTCCCTATGCACTGTGCGTAACTGCTGTGCTCTGGGGATGGCCCAAATTTATATATTTCGAATACTGGATAAAAGCAAGTTGTAGGGGTCAGCAGGTAGCACAGTGGTTGAGATGCTGGACTCCCACATGGCTGACAATCACACCAGGCACATGCGTGTGCATGCCCAAAATCCCAGGAGAAAGGAGGAAAAGAAACCCGTGTGGCCATCCCCCTGGGGGTGATTTCTCACTTTCCCTTTCACTGTCTTTCTCTGGCAAGTGCACAAGCCCTATGACAAAAAACACAAAACAAAACAAAAAAGTTGCAAAAACAACAGAATATGACCTGTTTTCTTCAAAAAGAAAAATAATGTAACAGAATAGATCCCTGTTCTTCCAAAAACCTTTCCAAATCAAGAAATGCACACCAGACTGTTAATAATGATTTTCTGAGGTAGGAGCTATAGGATGGGGACTCTCCAAAAAATCAGTATTAAACTCCAAATACGTACGTCATGGCCTCAGTGCCTTTGAGCACACTGTCTTACCTACAATACAACACAGAGTACAACCCTCCCTGCTCCCATTTAGCTCTGCCCAGTCTCTGCTTGCTCTCCCTACCCTGTCTACATTCCTTAGTTTTGCATTATGCTGCTTTGCGCCACCTTGTAGCACCAAGTATGTCACAGCTCTCCAAATAGCTTTTACAACTGCAAGACTCCACGAACACTAGCACTGTCCCGTACTTTATGTTTTCTCTTTCATTGAACAGTGACAACCCTATGAAGCACGTACTATTATAGAGAGGTCAAGTTCTTGTCTAGGATCATAGAGGAGGTGGGTGGAGCCAGGATCTAAATGTAGGGAGAGCCTGGCGCTGGGCACTGTATGGGTGTACTGTAACAAACATCATTTTTATAAAGTGATCAACCAATGGTGTTGGGTACTAAAGACAAAGCCTAAGATGAGCATTAAGAATACAAAGAGGTCTACAACCACACATTCCAAATGCTTGCAAACCAGGAGACAAAGCCATCAACAAGATATTGCTTACTGTGGTCTTTCCCTTGCCCTGGAGAAGTGCAAATGCTCGCTTGTGGGGTAACAGGCATGAGAGCCTGGCGAATTGCTTTTTCCCAGCTTTGTGCTACATCAAGTCCAACTCCAGTGGCAGCAAGAACAGGATTGTGAGAGCTGTCCCCATTATTCTCACCAACAAAGTACACCATAGTATCAGTGATGATTTCAAAGCAGTGTGGGTTGCTGCCTTGGGAAATGTTTGTGAAATCACGTGGTGAAGACACGCGGAGAATTTCTGAAAGTGGAATTTCCTGAAGTAAAAAATTAAGCATTAGAAAATATAAATACATCTTTGTTTTTATTTTTAAATTAAATATACTACAGAATAAAAGATACACAGTTCTTATTTATTTATTTATTTATTTTTGAGAGTTTTTTTTTTTTTCTTTTTTTTTTTTCTTTCTATAGAACACATGTGCTTGACAGCCAGTCAGCCAGAGACAGAGACAGAAAACAAGAAATCACCCCCTGGGGGATGGCCACACCATAATCCCTTCACCTCCATACTCCTCTTGGGATCTCGCACATGTGCCTGGTGTGAGTTTCAAGCCACTGAGTCCAGGACTTGAAACACGGTCGACTACATGGAACTCTAGCAACATAACCATTATGCCATCTGGTGTTCCCAAAGATAAACATTTTTATGACTGCCATTAAGAAGAATACAATTATGTGGCACAGGGAACACACTGTCAAGTCTTATGACAGGGTCTGCCTGGAGTGACCTGCCTGCCTTACAATGCCAAAGCAGACCACTGAGCTCAGAGAGGCCAACAGGGTGCAAGAAAGGAGAGGATTTAGGAGGGTGATTTGCCACTTGTCCCTTTCCAACTGTCATTAAATCAAGTCAACAGCTACTCCCTCCTGGCTTCTCTCTGTGAGAGACAGCTCCAAAGGGAGTGAGAAGCAGAAATAATGGCAGAGAAAACAGAATCCTGTGTCAGTATAGATTGTTTAAGCACTTCATGCTGGTTCTGTCCATTGAAATAAACTAACAATCACTGATGTTTAGTCTACTTCCCAAGGCAAAAAACTAACTTAAAATAATAATAATAAGCTCAAAGCAAGTCATTAGTTCCTATTCTTCCCATTCTCTTATTGATCTAATCGTTATACTTCCAATCTTGTTTAGTGTCAGACAGTGATGTGACAAAATGTAGGGCAAGCCAAAGTAAGGAGGACTGTATCAATGGAGCTGAAGAGCCAAGATAACACTGGAGCCTTAGGTAATGTGGAAGGTTTGAAAAGCATGAAACACTTCACCACCTTTTCTGGATAGGCAATAGTCATGGATTTTCTAGGTTGTCTAATCTAAATCAGAGTATCTAGAAGTTAAGCAGCAGCAATCTGACAGGCAGCCCAAGACAAAGAAACACAACAATAAAACCCAATATTCCGTACAGGGCTGCTGTGGGGGCTGGAATGAGGGGTGGGGAACAGATGTTTTGACAAAGGACCTAACAGTGACTTCTACAAACTCTATAAGGCAGAGCCATTACAGGCACATTAACATATAACAATTAATAAATATAATTTGGATATATTTAGAAAAGATACTATATATTAATGTCTATTTTTTTAAATGTGAAATTCTTACCTTATAATACTTTGATCCAGATTCATTTTGAAATAATGTTAGATATTTGCTGTCAAGTCTCCAATAATGCCTTTTTCTCTATAAAATAAAGATCAGAAAACTGTGAGATTCAAAAATAATTGATTCCTTCAAGGTACTGAATACTTTCCTTTACCTTTCATTTCCATTTGTAAATTCTTATTTTTGAATATGTTTAAAATTCATGTGGTTTGGGACCAGGAGTTAGCATAATGGCTATGTTGTTGGACTCCCATGTAGTTGACTATGGTTCAAGTCCCAGGCCCCGTGGTTTAAAGTCACGCCGGGCACATGTGCATGAGTACCCAAGATTCTGAGAGGAGAATAGAGAAGGGATTGTGTGCAGCAGGGCCATCCCGCTGGGAAGTGATTACTTGCTTTCTGTCTCTCTGTTTTTCTGGCAAGTGCATGTGCCCTATAGTGAGAAAACCTCCTCCCCCCTGCCCCCCCAAAAAAGTACTGCTCTTATCTCACTTGTCCCAACTTCTCATCCTTACTCCAGTCAGAGAGAGCCTAAGAAAACACCCCTCAAGGGGCATGGTCATGTTGCAACCCCTTCTCGGTTTCTCCCTCTTTTTGGGATTTTGTGCACACATGCACACAAGCCTAGGGTTTTCTTCAAGCTGCCAGGTCGAGGACTTGAACTAGCTGGCCATGTAGGATGCTGCCACCTTAACCGCCATGCCTCAGTTGGGCCAGTTTCATTCTTAAAGGTTTACTACAAAGTCTCTTTCAGTAACCCATTCAGCAAATTATCAAATGAAATTAAAAACAAAACAAAAACCAAAAAAAACCAACAGTGGCTACTAACATTTATTGAGTGCACACTATTTCAAGCTGTTTTATATTAACTCATTTGGATCTATGAGGTAGTTATTATTACCATGCAAATTTAACAGATGATGCAAATACAGTATAAAGAAACTAACTTTCCCAAGCTCACGCAATTTTAGTAAGTCACAAAGGGTTAGGTGGTTTAGCTCCAAATTCTGTTCTTAACCACTACAATATACAGATTCTTCAAATGTTCTTTCACTCCACTGTGGTCTCACCATTCCTCTTCTTTGCTAGATCTTAACAAAACAAAACAAAACCCCAACTATGTGCATATTTACATTGTTATAGTTTACATAAAAACAAATAAGGTTCTATCATTGGTAATAACTTAAGATGACTTTTCAGATGAAGTTTCAATTCCTTCTTTTCTATTTGCCAGAGAGTGTATGCGCTAGCCAAAGACAGACAGAGAGAGGGAGAGGGAGCAAGCACCTGCCAGTTGGCTGTGGTCAGGACATAATCCCTTACCCCTCTCTCCAGCTGGCTGGGCTTTTGGGCGTGCGTGCACACAGACACCTACTATGTTTTTCCAGCCACTGGGGAGTTGACTATGTGTGATCTGGTTCTTATCTACCAGGGCACAGGCTGGTCCTCCTGTTTTTATCTCTGACTCATTATGTTTCAAGTCATTGTTCTTTACTATGGCACAATCCCAGACTCTTTTGAACCTTCACTGCTCTGCCAGTTTATAAAGATAAAACATCAATACTCTCCTTTTTAAAAATTGTTTACAAATGTTAATATAATTCATAATGATTTTTACATCTTGCTACAGTGTATGTCTTGATGTGCATCTAATCTTCACTTGGATTTAAAAAGTGCCTGCAATGGAAGCTGTCACCGACTTCTACTAGCCTCTTACAGTGCACGTGGTTACTGACCAGATTATCCCTGCTGGCATAGTGGACCATCCAGCCCTCCTTCACCACTGTGCCGTTCTTCCTCTTCGTGTGCTTCGCTCTTCCTCTTCGTGTGCTTGATGGACTGCACGACCCGCATCAGGGGAATGTTATTGCTTGTTGAAGGACTGAAAGATATTTGAAATTTATGATAAGTATTTATAATTTTGATTTAAAAAAATCATACAAACACTGTAGACTCACTAAGCTGTTTGAAGATAAATGTGCTAATATTTAAAAAAAAATTATTTATTTATTTATTCATTCGTTTATTTTGCAATTTGACTAGAGAGACACACAGAGAGAGGGACTAAGAGAGGGAAAGTGAGAAAGCAAGCCACCAGGTTTGGGACTTGAACCATGGTCGACCATGTGGGAGTGTACAGCACCTTAACCACCATGCCACCTGCTGGCCCCGTAACTATGCTAATTTTTAAAAAATATCTTAGGAAGACAAACAATGGCTTAAGAAGGCAATAAATTAATCCTGCTATAATGATACATAATTGACTTAGAAAAGACTAAGCTAATACTGCAAATTCTCATGATCTGTTTTAAGTATTTTCTTGAGAGTTATTAAAAACAAAACAAAAACCTAACTGAGCAGTATCTTTCCCAACAGGAAGATTTGGAGCCTGGGACTTCTCCTTAAGTCTGCTGTTGAGCAGATTTTCTGTTCATGCAGGAAAATAAATTTGTAATAATAAATTAGCAAATTCATAGCAAGGCAAAATGGAAGTATTCATATTCACATGGCACAAATGTCAAATTTAGTTGATATTATTAGCAAAAAGTAATTACAGCAGAAGATACTGAAAGGAAATGAGGTACAGATACTAAGAAAATTTTTAAAAATAATGTACTAAGTCAAAACACGTAATACTGAAACACGGGTCAATGAATGGAGCTGGAGAAAAAAAGTAATTTGATATATGTATATAAGGTACTGTTTTGCATCTTGAACCTCAAAACTGTTACATTCTTTCAAACTATGAAGTAGTCATGATTGGGAAAATAGCAAGGTTCTATTATATATAGTCTCCAAACAGGGTAGACATTAAGTTTTAATTAATAAGGACATTGATAATAATAGCTATAATTTAATCATAAGCCAAACCAAATAAATGACAACTTAGCCATGTGAGATTAATGAATGACCCATTTTCTCTAAATAACTTTTTGTTGCCAATAAAAACCAACACCTATTAAAATGGTGACATTTTGCTACAAATGAGTACATTCTGTAGATAACAAAGACTGAATTTCTATGAACAATAGGATATTTACATTTTATAGGCCAGTAGCAATTTTACCAAGCCTTAGAGTTAACGGTGGCAATATGAAATCCGCCCTAATTTATCATCATGACCTTTGTGCCACTTCCTCAGGAGTACGTGTGTTATCATGTATGTATATATACACCGTACATATCCATCTATACACACACACACACACACACACACACACACACACACAGTTGTCGTAAAAGCCATGATGTATTTTTCTGTTTTTCTATGCAAAAATGCAGCATGACTTTTCCGACAACCATATATATATTTATACACAAACACACATATATATGTATACATATACACACACAGTATTTGTTGGAGGGTACCTGTACTCGTCAGAGAGACAGAAAGTGAGTGGGAAAGCGAGAAAGCAACCCCCATAGGAACAGTCATGCCCAAATCCCTTTTCCTCCATCTTAGACATGTACGTGCGCATCTCTGGTGTGTTTTTCAAGCTGGTGGGTCCAGAACTTGAACCACGCAGTTAGCCATGTGGGATCCAGCTGCTTTAACTCCCATGACAGGCTGGCCTGTCATGGAGTATATTCTTTT